AAGGGACGTCAAAGATCATCTAGTTCCAACCCCCCTGCCATGGGCAGGGACATCTTCCACTACACCAGGTTGCCCAAAGCCTCATCCAACCTGGCCTTGAACGCCTCCAGGGATGGGGCATCCACAACTTCTCTGGGCAACCTGTTCCAGTGCCTCACCATCCTGTGAGTGAAAAATTTCTTCCTTATATCCAATCTAAATCTGCCCTCTTTCAGTTTAAAGCCATTGCCCCTTGTCCTATCACTACATTTGCCCTTGCAAAAAGTCCCTCTCCAGCTTCCTGTAGGCCCCCTTTAGGTACTGAAAAGCTGCTACAAGATCACCCCGGAGCCTTCTCTTCTCCAGGCTGAACAGCCCCAACTGTCTCAGCCTGTCTCCATAGCAGAGGTGCTCCAGCCCTCGGATCATCTTCATGGCCCTCCTCTGGATTCGCTCCAGCAGCTCCATGTCCTTCTTGTGCTGGAGACTCCAGAGCTGAACACAGTATTCCAGGTGGGGTCTCACGAGAGCTGAGCAGAGGGGCAGAATCCCCTCCCTCGACCTGCTGCCCACGCTGCTTTGGATGCAGCCCAGGACACGGTTGGCTTTCTGGGCTGCCAGCGCACGGTGCCGGCTCATGTTGAGCTTCTCATCCACCAGCACTCCCAAGTCCTTTTCCTCAGGGCTGCTCTCAATCCATTCTCTGCCCAGCCTGTACTTGTGCTTGGGATTGCCCCGACCCACGTGCAGGACCTTGCACTTGGCCTTGTTGAACTTCATGAGGTTCTCACAGGCCCATCTCTCCAGCCTGTCAAGGTCCCTCTGGATGGCATCCCTTCCCTCCAGCGTGTCCACAACACCACACAGCTTGGTGTCATCTGCAAACTTGCTGAGGGTGCACTCGATCCCACTGTCCATGTCACCAACAAAGATGTTAAATAGCACTGGCCCCAGTACTGACCCCTGAAGAACACCACTCGTCACTGGCTTCCACGTAGACATTGAACCGTTGACCACAACTCTTTGAGTGCGACCATCCAGCCAATTCCTTATCCACCGAGTGGTCCATCCATCAAAACCATGTCTTTCCAGTTTAGAGACAAGGATGTCGTGTGGGACAGAATGGAGAAGAGGGTCTCCCACAGTGGGGAGGCAGGAGGACCCTCTGGCTCTTGGGGGTGTTTTCCATGGGGGGAGAGGAGGACCATCTCTGGAGCGAGGCCCTGGTTCTTGTCCAGGCTTTGGGCAGGCAAGAGCTGAGGCGCAGGTAATAGCAACACCCACAGTGCCTCTCAGCAGCGACTTGCAATTCCATCCCCACCCAGACTCCAGCCTGGTTTGCTGGTGACAGGGGCAGGCTTGGAGTTTAAAGGCGCTGGGAATCAAGGTGGAACAGACACCTAGGGTCTGGGCTTGAAATTCAGTCTGTCTCTCTCTCAAGTGGCTCAAATCTCTGAGGCTGGTGTATGAACAAGGCATTGTATGGCCATATTATCTATACTTTCCCATTAAAATGAAACCACATTAATGTTCTGGAGTGACTACATGTAGGCAGCAACACAAATGTCTGAGATCAATCTTCCATCCAAAACACCAGGGTCACAAAAGATACTGATCTGAGGGCTGTGGAACAGGTCCAAGATTTGGGAGCACAAGAGGAAAAGAGTAAACAAGAGCCAACGCTCAGACTCAATCACATAACTGGTCAGTCCTCCCCTCTTGCCGTAGAACAGAATAAGGACCTGTTGGAATTTCAGGTGCCTGGAGGCAGCAGTAGTGGTAGCAAGAGTTGTGAAACCCAAGAGATGGATAGCCTAAAACTAGTCAAGTCTGAAATTCCTTAAGGAGCCAAGGTATTTCTTTTCTGGGTTCAGCCACCTAATTTGTAGGCATTACTGTCTCTAAGATAGTGTATAATGTAAACACTCTGGGTCTTGCCGAGATTGGCACTGTAAGACTTTTATGGCCTGATAAGGAAGAATTCCTGATGTACATCAAGGTTAAACAGGCTGGAGCATGAGGAGGTCTGGGGCCAACTGCAGTAAAATCTCCCAGCATCAAAGGCTGCAAGTGGGCTGCACTCAGCAGATGAGAGCTGCCCTGTCTCCCTAAATTTAAACTCCATGATGCTGTGGAAGCCATTAGGCAAAACAAGGTACAGAAGTCTTAACAGGCATTGTGTTTGTGCTCGAAAGACCTCTGGTTTAGCCTGAAGAAGAGTGGAATAAAACATTAAAATATGTATTTTAATACAGTCCCCAGTATGACCCAGCAAGTGGGCACCATTGGATTAAAGGTTCACCACTGGGTACTTCTGTGGCTCCTGCCTATGCACTGTTCCAGGCTGGTGGCCTGAACTCCAGCAGATGTGAATCGCCATGGTTTCAGAAACTGATTAGAACTACTCCCTTTCCAGCCAGGAATGTATGTTAGGGAAGATTTTCTGCAAAACCAGCTTTAAACATCTCATGTCCTTGATTCTAAACATGCAGCTTCTCTTCCATTCACTCGTGGTTTTCCCCTGTTACTGAGAAACACCGTGCGTGAGGCGATGGCCACTGTTGATTTAAAGCCCACTGTGTTTGCAGGCGTGCTTCGTGATCCACGTCGGAGGAAACCTTTAGCTGGACATCACTACTCCATGAGCGATGCAGTTGGGAGCTGGGAGGCAGCCAGGGGAGAGTTGGGGTGCAGTGAGGACCACATGGACTTATGCCTTGTTACAAAGAGAGGGAGATAGCAAAAGATTAATTAATCTTTGGAAACGGAGCATTTAGCAACCCTGTTCTTCTGTGATGAACATACTGCAAAAATAGCTAGTTTAAATCGAGGATGTACTTTGTGAGGCTTTTGTTCTGTCTAGACAAGAGCTGGTGATTCTGGTTTTTCTAGCCGATTGATCACCAATTGCCAATTAGCTCAAACTAATGAATACAATTGTAAACACTAGTCTGAACATGTCAGAAATAAATACATATTTTGTGGACCTTCTAGCTTAGCGTTTACTGTAATCTCACTGACCTTGAATTAACTGGCAGTCAATTAACTCTAGTTAAAACAAGATCACAAACCGTAGTCTAACATTTGTGCTCTCTGGAATTATTTACCTAAATTGCACATGCAGAGTCTAGTATTTCAGTGTAAATTAAACTCAATATGAAACCAAATCAGACAGATATAAGTTTCCAATCACTTTGCAGTAGCATAAAGACCATGCCACAAGCAGGATGGAAAGAATGGGATGGATCTGTCTGACAGGGTCTGGGGAAGCAGGTCCAACCATCTTCCCAAGTCGCTCCTGCTGGTGAGTTATACCTGTGGGAGGGCTGCAGGGGCATGGATTTATAGCTAGCAGTTTTCAAGCACAGCCTGAGCCCCACTCAGAGCTTTCAATTGCAGACCCACAATTAATTGCTTGAGAGATGATAAGCCACAGTATTTGACTCTCTTATCTGCAAGCTCAGTCAAATAGCTAGACAATCAAATCTTGAAAAATGTTGCCTTAGCGATGGCCATCGCTGCACTTCCAAACATCACTTTGACTGAGGAGAGTTTAATCACAGACACTGAGTCACGTATTACAGTAAATTACATCCCTCTTATCATATATTGCCTTTGGCCAAGTCAGTTTATGATTTTGAAAGCTGTAGAAATTTAGACACCATAGAAGATATACGTTACGGCCAACCGAACAGGGAACAAAATGCTTCCCAGTTAGCTCCATGTTTTCCAAGCAAGTTGTCTTTTAAAAAATAAGAAAGCAACCACCTCAGATGCAGGAGCAAAACTGAGGAAGCAATCTTCTTCCTCTCTTTGTTCCCCACTGGCACCATTGTAAATTGTATGATTAAAAAAATCAGCCTGAAAAAGAGAGACGGCTACAAAGAGTACAGAGTCTGTAGTCATGCAGAAGTGAGCTAGCTGCAGGGAGAGACCCAGCTGTGCACCCCACACCTCTGCACTACCTAGTGAGGGCAACAGCAGCTTTGCTGGCATTCTGAGAAGGAAGGAACCTTCTTTGCACTGGGTTTTCCAGCCACATGCAGTCAAAGACACTGTTTCTGCTGGCCCACACCTTGCAGGAGCTGGGGAGAAGGTGCCTGGGACTCTCTCGCTGACATCCTCATCACCAGGTCCTGGTGAAGCCGGAGCAGCCTCCGGAGGAACACAGACACGTCAGGGGCTCTGGATCCACCTGGCTGAGTGTAGCTGCACAAAGGCATGGTAAAACAAAAGCTTCCCTTTGCAAATCGGGAACAAATTATGTGAAATTTGCCCCAGAAAACACCTCAGACTACCAACGCATGTTACACCCGGTCGGTTTTACTTCACTGTGATTTATTCTGTATTTGTACTTTGTCAAACAAGCTGTCAGCAGCACGCAGCAAGTACAAGGGAAGAGCAGTTTATAGTTGTTTATCTTATTCTTTGCCATTATTGTGACAGTACCAAGCCAGGCCACTCGTAGATCAAACACCACGCTGGGCTCTCCAAGAGCACAGTGCAATTTTCGGTACACCAGTTTCATTTAAAATGCTCTTCTTTCGTGATTATTGACTTCAGATGTGCCAACAGGGGAGAAATAGGAAATGAAACTGCTGCAGCTCTGAAGGGAAGCTGCCCATATTGGTAGCCAGCGTTGTAGGTAAACAGATCACGAAAAGTAAACATGTGGCAAATAGTACATTTGGGGAGGAAAACGGCATAAAAGACTTGGGTGTCATTTTGTGTGTTATTGCTGGCAATAGGAATAAAAGGTTTTGATTTTTAGGTATTTGGTTTGGGCAGGCCTTTCCTCTTGGAAAGTAGATGATTTGCTTTTCTCCTTGCAGGTAAATCACCTTGGTTGCTCGTTTGAGTGCGACATAGTTATCAAGCCAGAGCCGACGGATGAGCTGCCGTCCCAAATTCCGCACAAAATCACTCAGGTGCTGGCCGAGCTCTGGGAACAGTTAGAAGACTAATTTTACGTGCTTTTAAATTAACTCTGCATTTGTTTGCTGCCAGGTGCCACACCAAGCATGGAGAATGACCAGTGTCCCACCTCACCCGGGCAGGACATCCGGGGGCAAAGCGGGGACAAACCTGCCCCCAGCTCTCCACCCCTGGCTCCAGCCCCTGCCGAGCAGCTGAGCGCCCGGCCCGAAGCTGCCACGTGTGACATCTCGGAGGAGCTGAGCCGGCAGCTGGAGGACATTATCAAAACCTACGGGTCTGCTGCCAGCCTGATGGAGAAGGAAAGCGCTGTGACGGGAACCGACGGGCCTGAAAAGGGAGAGCCAGGCAGTGTGGAGGATGCAGAGTACGAAGATGCTAATGAGGAGAGTGAGAAGGAGAAGCTGGCTCCTGGAGATCCTTCCAGAGCAAAGGAGCCCAGCGGCAGCAAGGAGCAAAAGCTGGAGAAGAAAATCCTGAAAGGACTAGGCAAGTACTCACATACTTCTGCAGCCCTTCTGCGAGCAGAAGTGAAACCTTCCTGGTCCTTGCTCTTTCCCATGATAAGCCCCTACTCTGGAAGACAGGGACCTCTAGTTGCCACTGTAAATTACAATACAACTTTTCTCTAATTGATCATTATTTTCAGCAATTACCTGACAGACATATGCAGGCTGTATCAGATATTAGCCCTTTTAAGATGACAAAAGCTTAGGATTGCATCACACGATTCTGATGTACTGTTGGGCCACCCAGACTAGTTAGCCAAAGCTGTGAGTCTGATGACACGCTGCAGAGAGCTGCATCTCGGACAAAGGAAAACCTGGCCTCTCCTTCGTGCTTCAGTAAATTTTTTCTTCCCCCACTTCCTCAGGTACGACTTCCCACCGGTTGAAACAGCGCTAATGATCTTGGGGTATAAAAACCCCAAGCATCGCTA